CTCTAATTTTTTCTTCACTATCGAGTTACTCAGCACCTTGTGGTCTATATGCAAACCCCTAATCCGCTATGCATACTGGCGAATGATCGTGGGCTTTGCCTTCAAGGGTTATGGCATAAATAACTATGCGACAGCTATGCCATAACCTATGTATTGAAATATGATATGATAGATGTACTGATAACTCTTTATCAGCCCTAACATGGGACCCTTTCATTTCAGATTAACTCGTCGACTACGCTACCGCCAAAACGAATTCGATTAAGAGCAAAGCCAAATCACCTCGTGTCTAACACCCCCATGTCTCAAAATCAACAACGAGGAACTGCGACTGACATGCGGTAACTTTCTTTATCATTTGAAAAAATACACTTGAGAACTGAAAGCATTGAGTCGAAGTTCTTAGAAGAAATAGTTCTAATTTCTAGAGTTTCAGTAGAAGAATAGAGTACCATTCCGCTCCGTACTAACAAGTTAGTAAACTATTTGATCGACTATCGTTTGATGTGTTAGGCTTTAATCTTTTCTGTTGGCTGCTGCTTTTTTGCTGCGACAAGCAAACATTAACGGAAGCAATCAAGTCAGTAGATAGGAAGCTTTTGTCCACGAGTGAAGCTCAACCCCGGACTTTTTTCTGAGCATGAGGCTTTTCCACCACGCCGCAGAGTTCTACGACCAGCGCCTTCACTCAGCGATGCAAATAACGCTGATAAGAGCATTTAAAGGACTCCTTGTGGAAACAAGAGTTACCATAGTTTGCTCGCAGTTTCTGCTAAGTATAAACCGGTTGAAACTAAGGAACCGATTCCGAGTACGGAAATTTTATTGGGACGGCGTTGATCTAGGTTTTGAACGAGAACTCCTTTGAATGCTCCTTCCGGGTTACCAGCGCTCCTTGAACTTCTCTATCGTATATATTCTGTTTCGCTGCGGTGTCATGTCAGTGCAGGTGCACTTGGCGCGGCGCCAGACCAGTTTTCCAGCTGCTCTTGAAGGAAGCGACCAACTGTTATCGTTTACCTGTTCAGCAACTGATGGAAAACGGGTGTGGGACATGCCAAACGGGGCCGCGCGAACACGCCCCATCATCCGCAGCGAACCGGGCCGTACTGCTTCCCAGTGCTCGTACAATTCCGTGATTGCAGGTCGTGGGTAGAGGGGTCTATGCATGGGATTTTACATGAAAACTGACTGAAGGCAAAGCGAGTCAATGCTAGTAACACCCTGAATAAAGCCCTTTTGTCCCAGATGATAGCCGGAATCAGCTGAGAAACATGACACTGCGTGGGTAAGGGCTCAGAGACCAGGGCAGATGCGTTATAAAGAAGAGCGAGAGGACAGGTATGATCTAAAACATGGGACATGATAGCGCGGCTGACTTCACTCCTGCGGCGCCCGATGAAGTAAGCGTCACCAATGTAGTTGATCCAGTCAACTGGGACCCTGCGCTAAAAGCTTCAGCACCCGCTTCACTCTCAATTCTCTCAGTCCGGTCCGCAATTGGTCGCCTGCTACGGCTCTTCTTGAAGTAAGCTAATTCTAGGTGGTGGGAGGGAAAAGAGGCGATACACTCCACCCCATCTCTCTCCAGCCCCAGGTGGCGGCGGCCCTAGCGAGCAATGGCGTTGTTTTTTTTCTCACCAGAACTATTGCGCTGAGGATGGAGGATTTTGCCACTGGTTTATATATCACATTGAGAAGAATTTCTTGCTCTATACGGCAGTGCTCTTAGTTTTTTTCTTTTTTGAAGTTTCCTATTTCACACATATTTACGGGCTCGAACTGGAGTGTCAAGTCGACGAAGTTGAGCATGTTCGCCAGCTCCTCTTTTTCCTACTATTTAAAAAGCGGCTTTTAAAAAAACAACAACGCACACGGCAGCGGCTTCGCTAATCCCCCCCCCTAACACCGCCTCGGCCCCACCAGAGGCTACTTCTCTCGCGCGCGCCGTACACTACTTACCAACCGGTCTTGCGTTACTTCCGGAAGATGCCCATTTCTACGACCCCCAGACCGACAGCAATCGAGAGCCTTACCCGCATGCCCCTGCTGAATCCAAGTGAGAGCTACTGAGTCAATTATCGAGATCCACTAGGGATGGAGAATCGCTAGGGGCCATGGAATGCTTCCTTTTGATGATCAAGATCACCTCAGTTGAACTGCTCAGAACATTAGAAAACTTTAGTGGGTGGTGTCATCCTGCGCAGACACGTCTCAGAGGGCCCCCCGGTCATCGCGCATCGCCAATTTTACGAGGTCCGCAATTCGCATTCCTGATTGCTTGAACCAACTTCACAGCCGTCCTAGAGAGCTCTTTCTTGGTCCTGCTAGTGTCAAGTTTTGAACTAACTTCTGTAATTTCGACGAGCGCGAGAAAAGTGCACTAGAGGTTGCTCCTGTCGAAAACTGACTCTTGACGTCTGACGACCACTCACTTCGCGCGGTCAATAAATAAAAACGCGACGAATTCAAGGAACTGTGGGAAGTCAACCATACTGTTTATAGAGGAGGAAATTATCTATCAAATAATGTAGAAAACACTGAAAACAATCGTCGTTTTCTATATAAAAATCTGTGTCAGAAAAAACGCCATTACTTATGGGCCAACCCAATACCTTATTGCTAAAGAGCGCGTCAAGTGACTATTCTATAGTAGAAACAGCAGTGTATTTCAGAGCAGTGCCTGCAGCACGACAGCAAGCTCCAGTAGTGCAACTAACACTAGCGAAATCGACCGATCAACAAGCTCAGAAAGGAGGCATCTCCTTAGCCAGAGGGCATCAAAAGAAGCCGGCTACGATAGCGGTAGCGCGAACTCTAACACCACCACTAACCCCAACTGGTGAGCTGAAAGTGATCAAACCGTCCACACAAAGGTCTGTTCGGCTCCGTCAATCAAAATCAAGGAGAAGACCACAGGTGAAATATTGAATGATAAGGTTTGCTTACAGTCTGTTCCCAATTGCACAAGATAGTGAGTGGGATCGTATACGAGCTGAATTTCTACGGATCAAACGCCAACATAAAAAAATCTACGAAATGCAGCGAAAAATGCGAGCAACACCGGCCAAAACGGCAGGTGTTAGGACAGTGACGGCCTCAGGTGGAAAATCTGAAGAGGTGGAGTAGACTGCAATTTGTCTAGCAGGTTCCCAGGTTTCCTCGGGTATACGGGTGGTGGTGAATTCGTTACTGTAGTTCACGAATATTCGGGATGGTGTTGGTGTTTTACTGCATTTCGACGCACTGTTTTGTTCAATTTCATTGAAACCACTCTCTTTTCGGTTTTTTTCCTTGCAGAAGCTTACTAAATGGAGAAAAAAATTTTTTTCTAACCAAAGCCTGTTCATTTCTCTTAATCAGAGGCCCTGTATCACAACCGGACATTTATTGAAACCCACGTGTCCTAGAAAATGATCTATTCCATTTGTCGACCACAGGGTAAACAGTGAGATCCCATTACGAATCATAAGCGATTCACAACTTGGATAATTGTGGGACTTCGCCGGAAGGAGTTATACCTTAATCCTCCTTAGTTCCCGGGTCTAGACCAGCAGTAATCAAGTAAATTGGAGAGAACCGCAGAATTATCAAGAGCAGTCCGTCGTAGAAGTCAAGTAAAATGTTTCGTAATCAGTGTGGATTTCGGTTAGGCCGAGCGCTCTCACTATTAGCTCCGGGGTATGGGAGCTACTGGGTGTAGTTGATGATTATTAGGTTGTCCCAAAAGTTCGTGAAACTTTCGAACATTTTTTCGAGTTAAGTTTATTCCAGTGAGAAGCAATTTTGATCATTAATATATATGTTACCTTCATTGGCAACTTGTTGCCAACCACCACGCAATGAGTGGTTGCCTTGCTTCCAGAAGCTTCTTGGTTCTGTGCCCAGAAAGGCAGCTGGGTCATTTTTGAGGTACTATCAAAAATCGTATTTTTTACCCAGAAGATGGCCGCTGTGGGATTAAGTTTGATAGCGATGGA